GCATTAGTCAATGCTGAGACGGTATGTCATCTCGCAATCTTTATTGAGGACAATTGAAAGTGTGATTTTTCGATCATTTCAATCCATTATTATTAACTACCATCGACACCCTATCAGCATTTGATTTTCGCTTGATCGCTTTCTATTTATTCAAATAAATATCAAACTCAGATGAATTAAGCTTGTTAAATGGGAAAAGTATTTAAATTTTCTTTTTCTGGTCTCGCAACATGAAAAGTTGAAGATGAGATGCCCTTAGAATGATTTTGAGTGGGGATGATTTCAAGTACTTGTTGGAATGAATCGAAGATTTTTTAATTTTGATCTGAATTGCAAATTATTGCAATGTTACTATAGATATGGCTGATTTGATGCATTAACCTTTCGATTAGGGTAGATTAGGACTAGCTTTACTTTATAAAGATCGTCAGAGATTGAAAATCTATTTTTAAAACCACATCAAGCTTAGCTTGTAACATTTAATCCAGTCAATTAAAAAATCTCTTAAGCAATTTCCTCAAGGGCCTAAACGGCGACTAAGTGAGTAATGACGAGAATGAGCGCGAAAGTGGAAAAAGAAGGGAGATTGTAATAAAGATTAATGATAAAACAAAAGGAATAGAAAATATTTTTTTTTATTATTGTTGCTTCTGGAACTCGGCAGCTATTAATTAATAAAAGCTTCTCTGTTTTCCATTCACTGGCTACACATCTTCTGGTTTTGATCCTCAGAAAAAAATAACATTGTGATGGAAAATAAGAGATGTGAAAAATAGAAAACTTTTTCTTTTGTTTTGTTTCTAAAAATAGTCATTACAAATTTTTTTTATGGTCTATATTTTCTTCTTTTTTTCATGAAAAATAAAACGTAGAACAAAATATGGTACATATCTGTCAGAGATGATTAAAATGAAAATCCCTTTACATATGATGAATGCATGAATAAAAATGATGAGAGGGGAAATATATTCATTGAGCATGAAAATAAAATCAAAATAAAGAATAAAACAATCTTCTCCGTCCAGGTTTTCATCTTTTTAAAGGCTTTGAATATTTTTTTTTAAAAAGTCTGTATTCCTTATAACATGTGGGCATCATTCACTAATGACGTGAATGCCTTTAAACATATATTTTAATCTCTCATCCTCTGTTTAAAAATATTAGAAGCATCTTATCTTCGCCCACACATCATTTTTCTTCATACTTCTATCAAGCTTCGAGTCAAACATTATTTATGAACGACCCCTATTATTAAACGAAGTGCAAATGACGTGAGTACAATACGAGAATATAAATTAATATTTTTTAATGACCTAGATTTTAAATTCATCATTAAATGTCGTATCTTTCATGATCATCGCAGGTATGAGTGATGAACTTAATTGATGAGTATGAGAATATACAAGAGATGCTTTAGATAAATGACTAAAGGCACAAAGGTATGCACTTGTTTTATTTTCTTTCTTAGATTCTTAAGTGAGCATGAAATGGATTATTAATTAAGATGGTACGCAAAGCAATGGCAAACTAAGGTATCTACATATTAGATAAAAGAACATCATCAAGGTATAAGATGAAAAAAGTCACAGTTTTGACGATTTAAAGGCCACCAACATCTCATCCATTAAAGAATGAAATCCATTAAAACTTCTTGCTCTAATGGAAGCAATAATCCAAAGTAAGTAAGCCACGATTTACAGCATAAATTGTCGCTCATCAAGGATTCTTCTATCTCGTAAAAATGTCCATTCCTTTTATTTAAACCACAATAAATCCACATCATATCATCACATAATCCACTCGTGTTTAACTATAAAATTTTGTACACATTCAGTTCCTCATGAAAGCTGGTCTATTGCAGAATTAAATCCCCTCGATTAATATGTACATTCCCAAGACACGATACATGATTATAACGATGAATATTAAAATTCCATAAAAAAATGAATAAATAAGTAAAGAAGCACAAATAAAATTGTTATTCTGAAGCTACGAATAAGCACAAATAGTGAGAAATAGAGTAGAAAAACTGTTCATAATTGAACATCATTGTTTATCCGATGTATTTTTTATTATGCTGTAAAAATAGTTGATCTAGCAGCAGCAGGCATGTTGGAAAGCAAATGGAGAAATAAAAGATTTTTTTTCATCCCCCAAATGGTCGAGATAAGCACAAAAACACAAAAAATCGATCACATCTAATTTAATATCATTGCAAAAGTTGATGTATATGTGTAACATGTAGCATGTGATAGTTTAATCCATGAAATTTACAAGGTATCCTTGCCATCCTTTTCTCTCTCTCTCTAACCTGACTTTTTTTTCTGTGTGCAGCTTTTAGTCTTAGATCTGACGTCAAATTTGATTTGAGGGGAAAAAAATGGAAACGGAAAGAAAGGAAAATTTCATTTTTTTCTCTCCCTTTTTCTTGGTTTTTGTTCCTCAACATTTTTCTACCTGAACCACGAAATTGAAACTGATTTTTTGTTACTTCTTCATATTATTATGTGCCAAACCTTTCTACTATTTCATTTTTTAACATGTCGAAAAAATAAAGTCAAGGTGTCTGTTCGAGGAAGGATAAAAAAAATGAATTTGTGCTTCCAGTTGAAAGTTGTACGATGTTTTATTAAAAATTGTGTATTTATTTTTTCGTAGGGGCTGCTTTTTCAGTTCCCTTGAGGTACAATGAAAGCACAAAAGCAGCTGTTTCTAGATAAATGATTTTAGTTTTATTTCTCATTAAATCTTTTAATTTTATTAAATTGATAAAAACTCCATGTCTTTAGAGAACGAATTAAAGTCAAAAAAAATAGTAAAGTCATTACACAGAACTCAGCCTAGAGCACTCCACGTGAAAATGAACCAAAACTCAATCTCATTCAGAGTTCGTGATAACTTAAAAACAGCAATCGCCATTCATTTTTCAATCAAATTGAAGAATAAACAGCACAAAAAAATGAAAATTGAATAAAAATGGACTAAAGCAAGTCCCGAAACTTTTTGGTCACTTTTTATAAATAAATTCTTTTTCCACAAACTACTAAACGGACTGAAAAAGGTTTCCGTATTATGAATATTTCCTCCTCTAAACTTTTTTCCTCGTTTTGCTCTTGTTTGTTTCACCTTTTAATAAAAAATTTAAGCAATTTGTAACTTTTTTGCTTTCATGTGATAAATTAATTTAGTGTTGCTAGAATACCCCATCAATTTATGTCAGGAGAACTTTAACAAATTGAATTGGAAAAGGGATGGGAAGCCGATAAGCTATAAAAAAAATTATTTGAGTGTCGAACCTTTTCACCTATAAATATTTTTATAAACTTTCTTTTCTTATTTCCTAAATGAACTTATAAATTCCATTCTGATTTGAATAATTTATTTTGAACTTCAGGATCACCCCTTAAAAATAAATCTATCTTACTCCTGAATTTTTTATGGATATACATGAATTTGTTGTGAAATCTGAAACTAATGGTTAGGTTGGATTGGTTGTGGGAATAAATATCATTCACTTAAAATTAATATTTAAAAAGATTTTCTGGTGTTGTTTTATCTTTTGTTCTTTAATTAGTATTTAGGAATGTCTAGTGATTTTCTTGAAGTTTATTTTTATTGATTTTGACTTAAAAACAGCTTTAATCAATCAAAAAAGTATTTTTGTTTTTCATAAATTGATTTTAAGCCACTTCAACTTAAAATTTTCGTTTAAAAACTTAAATCTTGAATTTTAAGTTTCTCAAAACATTAAAAAATGAATTAAGCTATTCAAATTAAGTTAAAATTCTTGGTTTATTGCTTGAATTGATAATTTACTACCAATAAAGATTGCATTCAATATTTTATAATATTTTAAAAGTGGTTTTCAAAAATTAATTGCTGGTGAACATTAAAATTTTAGTTGTGGAACAGTTAAAAGCTTTACATTAAGAAAGTGTGCAGTTTTTGCAATCTTTTGAATGTGATATGATTCTAGAAAATTAAAAAAAATTACCAGAATTATTTTTTTAAAGTTTCAGATCGTAACATTCTTGTTTTGCAGACCAAGTCAGTGCGTTATTACATATTTTTGATTGTCCAGCATGAAGACCCACACCTTTATAGATTTTAAAAATCATAATTCAACAATCCCCAAAAGAAGCATTAAAATTCATTGAAACATTGTAAGTCCTCCAAAATCTCTATAACATGTTTATTGATATTTTTCGACACAGAACTATGAATTGATTTCAATTTCAATTATTAGTTCGATAGCAAAAACCTTCAAAATCTTCTCAATCCACTTCTCACACAAAGTTTAATAGCAAATTTCACAAAGTAAAAATAAATTGAATTTTTGTCCCCATGTGACAATCGTCCATAACTTCTATTTTTGTTATCCGGTCTGTGTTTATCATGAATTAGTTTGGCGACAAAGAAGAAATAAAGAATAGCATAAGAAAAAAAGCATTCTTTTTCCACTTGATTTGATTTTTGAAGAAACAATAAAAATGAGAATGAAACCAAAAAGGAAAATGAAAGACAAACTTGAAATCTAGCTCATCCGGATGGAACTATGTCGTCTAAAGTTTTTATTTCGAATGAAAATAAAATGAATTATTGTTTAAGTTTTTAAAACGTGAAAAAAATCTTAAATTTCCTGCTAAGCTTTTTTTGCTGAGTTGATGTTGTGCTGTATAAAAAGTAAGGTGAGTTGTCACATAAAAAATTGTATTGTTAATATTCATGGGGATACGAAGGCGTCCGGATTCTTTAAGGAGTGACAAGACATTTTACAGTGTCTTGAAAATCTCACAAAAACATGTCTTGCAGATTATTAAGAAATTGAAGCTGTTCATCTACGAAATTTTTCAAGGAAATAATAAACATAAACCTAGGAGGTCAAATGAAGACAATTGGATATGAACCCAACACCAGCTTATTGTTTGACTATTCATCTAGGATCATCTCCATTTTTCATGGCAACATGAACAAAGATCAGTAATAATTTGTCTACTCACCGTCCATTCAATTTAAAACTACGTTTCTTTTTTGTGCGATTTAAACTATTTGTATTAGGTGAACCACTGTGATATTGGTTATTCAGAATATGATTTGAATAGAGATTATACACTGAATTACAGCTGTTTTGATTTTCAGTTGGCGCACTTAATTGTCGATTAAACTCAATATTTTTATTATTCAATTCCGATACTTGACGATTCAATTCAATAATATGTCTTTGTCGTAAATGATTATTATTGTTAGTCGAATTGTTTGAATTATTATTGTAGTTATTATTATTATATGACAAATTATTATTACTAACTGAATTTTGATTTACACTATTAAGATTATTGCTTACATTTCGATTAGAATTCACTGAACTACTATTTTGATTAGCACCATTTGCATTTGCACATTTTTTCTCGCTACTTAATGGAGGATTATTATTATTATTATTATTATTACTATAATTTTTACCATTACTACTTTTTGCACTATTTGAACTATTTGTATTATATTTGCTAGTTGAGTCACTATTCACACGCGATCGCGTATTACCGCTTCCACCGGCAACGACACTATTACCACTTATCGAATCGCTTGAGGTTACTGAATTTAGTTGCTGTCTATAATGCTGTTGCTGCTGCTGCTGTTGCTGATATTGATGCACGGCCGATGATGGTGATGAATGTGCTGCTGATTGCAATTGAATTGATGAGCCATTTTGATAATTTGGTAATAAATAATCGCCGCCATGTAATGATTGAAATGAGCCTAAACTCATATCAATATTCAGACATTATAAAATTTCCCAATTGAAATGATGAGTTAAGAAGTATTATTATAATTTTTTTTTTGTATATCCAATTGAGAAATGAGGCAGTTAAGGTCAGGTAAATAGGATCATTAAGATAGAATATACAGAAAATACATAAATATAAAAAAGAAGTGAAATTTTTTAAGAAGAGAGAAAAAAGATTTTTTTTTACAAAAAAAAAGAAAAAGGAAGAAAAGAAAAATAAAAATAGACAGAAAGAAGATAGAAGAAGAGGAAAATAATTATTTTAAAGATGAGTGGAAAACAGTTACAGTATATGCTTAAAAGCAAGTCATAAAAATTAAATTAATTTTTTTTCCACAATTTTCAGCGCATTTTCTGATATTAAATTGATCTGGTGTCTATATTTCGTCTGTCTGATCACTTATTCTGTCTGCTGTTCATTAAAATTAATATTGCTTGTGTTTTTTTGCGGGTTAAATCTGTCAATTTCCTTAATTTCCTGCTGTTTTTATCTGCTTTTTATTAGCTTTCTAGGAAAATTAATTTGCTTTCTTTTGTTTAGGTTTTCAGTCAATTGTTAGAGGATTAGGAATGTTCTAAAAAATTAAATTAATTTGTTGCGATTTGGAATTTGTTTCGAGCGTTTAAGATTTTGTTGAGTTGAGATTCATTGGAAAACTATAGCCAACTCAAACCTATAAGTCATAATTAAATACGTCCAAACTCCACATCCTCTGATTTTGAGTTCTTTAACATTTAAATTCTCAAAAAAAACATTAAAAAATTAATATTTTTGAAAACCTTCAGGTTCACATTTTTCACACATATAGTCTTATATTTTATTTTCGCAAGGTATTTCAAAATATTTACAAGCACTAAACAAACTCATCATCATTTACTGAGAAAAAAAATAATCACTCTTGATTTCACTGGAACTTCTTAATTTCCTAACCTTAATTTTTTTTGAGTTCATAATTTTGTTTCAGAAAATGCGCTGAATACACATCACAGATCAAGTGACTGTGGGAAAAAGTAACAAAATTTTTCGATGGATCGAGTGGGGATCGAAGAACTTTAAAACCAGAAATTAAAATAAAATCAAAGAAAAAATATTTTTTGGCGGTCTTATGGCGTAGATAAAAGTATATAGCTATAATCATAATACTAATGATTAATAATTTTATTTCGAACCTTGAAACTGATCACTATTGACTGGCTGATTTGTTTGATAGCTACGCGATGATCTGCTACTCCCGCTAGCTGTTGTATTATAGCTTTGATTTTTATTTAAATTATTATTACCACTTGAATTTTGTAAATCATTCGGATCATTAAACATATGATCAAAGTCAAAATGCGTTGATGGCGTTGATTGACTCAAATATGATGCTGAATTTCCATTTTTACTGCTATTTGCATATAACTGCTGATGTTGTTGCTGTTGCTGCTGATAATTTTTATCACAATTTCCTCCTGTATTTATATTATGCGATGACGTCTTATATAAACTTTTACTATTATCACTAAAACTATTTGAGGCAGGACTGAAATTATTCGCACTAATTGAGAGCGGTTTCTGTTGCTGATATTGCGTCTGCTGCTGTTGCTGATGACTGTTTGAATTTCCACTTAAATAACAGTTATTCACTGATGATGATTTATTTCTAGCATGTCTATTTTCTGTACCATTCGATGATCCACCACCACCTCGTTGCTGATGCTGACTGTGGTGCTGGCTATGACTGGATGTACTTGCACTACGTTTATCTGATTTTTTTTTATTCACGTGATTCGAATTTTTTAAGGGGTAGAAAAATTAACAAAAAAAAAGAAAATCCTTCAGAATTTTTCTACACAGATTTTAATAAACAAAATTATTGGACTAAGGATCGATGGCCACAAAATTTCAACAAAATAATTCACACTACGTATTTTTTAAGGACAAACCGAAAAATATATTTTAAATTTTAATAATTTTTCTTTGAAAATATTAAAAACCTTTTTCAGAACTCCGTCCTTCTTCACTTTCACCACTTCGCGTAGAGTCGGGATTATAAGCAATGTTACTGTAGCCAACGTTCACCGAAGACTGATGCAATTGATTTTGATTCAAGTGTAAAAATTCAGAATTCTCCTGGCTGTCGTGTGTTGTATTGTAGATGTACACATGTATATACGTAGATTCGTTTTTATTCCGAATGAGTCGAATATTCACCAAGTTGGAATTGGAGTGTGCAGGGGGATTTTAATGTTTTTATTTGATTTTTTTTGCGACCGCGATGCCGGGACAGCAAATTTTATTTAAATTTTGCGTATTTTTTTTTTAAATTGAATTTTTCCAATTTTTTTTTTGTTGAAAAGAAAAAAGAGAAAAAATTTGTGTTGATAATCCTTAATTTTATTTTTTTGAAACTACTTAAGGTCACAAAAAAATTATAAAAATAAAATTAATATTTATTTTTGGCCAGGTATATCAAGCAATTTTTCTGACGTTACTACACACAACTTTTTCTGATATTCATCTAACTTTTATTATAAAGGAATAAGAAATGATATAACAGAATGAACATTGTAAACATTTATACATAAAAAAACAGCAGTTCTCCTTTCAGACTGGAAAAAATCTACAAAATATTAACAACAACTAACGAAAGAAACATTCTAAGAGAGTATGAGCATTTATGAGAGTCAATGGAATGAATTTGGAGGATGAATTGGAAAATGGGAGAGAATGGAAGTGATTGTATGAATGAAATTTGGAAAGTACATACAAAATGATAAATATGAGAATGAGAATGCACGAAATTCCTGCCTGAAATATCGAGCACACAACGATGAGGTAATTATAGAGTAAATGTAAACATTTATATAATTAATTTCTTTACGAATAAAAAGATAAATAGTCGAGGAAGTTAATGAGGAAGGTTAATTAAATTTCACATTCGCTATATATTTTTTTTCGGTAAGTAGGTAATCAAATATGTGAGTGGATCATTTGTTTTTTTTATGTTTTTTTTCTAGTTTTCTATTTTTTTCATGATTTAAAGCTGTTGAGTTTTGAAAATTTATAAACGTTTTGATGAAGCTACTTATGACAAGTAGGGTCTGGGCAAATATGAAATCTAATAGGAACCTAACATGGGAACTTCCCTAAAAAATTATGAAGAAGGTATGAAACTCCAAAACATTAAAGATATGCCTTTGTTTTTAATCCATAGAAGTTATTAAACAAACATTTTTATCGACCTTAGTCATAGAAAATAAAATGCAAGGTCACTCAATATCAGAGCTGCATTTATTATCCATTCGGGTAATGTTTTTAACATTTTTCATATTTATTTAACCATTTTAATAAGAAAAACTATATCGAGAACCTTTAAATTGAATCATTTTGGTGATTATTCAAAAATTCAAACCTTAATAAATGTTTAAGACATAAGAAGCCTCATAAGTAGTAACAATTGATTCAATGCTAATCATTTCAGCTGATTTATGAATGTGATTATTTGTTCATTAATTCTTATCAGCAGGGTTTTCACGAATGTGTCTAAACTAGACTAATTTAAAGATTTTAATTTTCACACAAAACTTGATTCCTACGAAATCTTTAAAACAAAAGAATGCTGATCATTGCTGTACAAAAATAACTGTAAAATAATTCTTTTGATAAGTTTCTTTAACCTGACCATGCAGAATTATACAACAACCAAAAAAGGAATTGGATAATCTACAAAAAAACATCCAGAATCCAACCATGCATATTTGCTGTAAGTGCATTATTCAATAGAGTACTTCAAAAGTGCATCTACTCTTATATTTTCAAAAGGCATAAAATCTTATTGAATTTTTTCTCAATGAAAAATCTAACAAGTAGCTTTTCCTATAAAGTTCTACCTAGAAATCCCATTAAAATTTTCCAAATGAAAATTTCCATTAAAAAAAATCTTTATGTTCTGAATAAAAACATGAATAAAATGTATGAAAATAAAAAAAAATGGTATACAGGTAATCAAGGTGAGGCAGGGTGCAATTTGTGACATGCAAGATATAACTTCAAAAGCTCCAGTCTTCTCAAATTGGAAAGTTCAAATACATGCAAGAAGTTTCCCAATTTTCTTATGATGAGAAAGAGAGAAATGAAGTAATGAGAGATCGAGAGAGAAAGAGAGTGAAAGCTTAAGAGAGAGAGAGAAATGAGCTTTTTTACATGGATGGAAATAAATTTTTTAAGAATGAAAGTTTCATAATGTGCGAATGTATTTGTAACAATGTAAAAACTTTACTTCACTTCACATCTGTGTATCATACACATTGACATATTAATTGCACCAACACAAATGCAACAACACCACGAAAATAGTCTAGTTATTTTATTTGATATCAGGTGACTTTAGCTTTTAACATTCACAGCCTGCTTTCCTACAATTTTCTGTGTTGTTTTTGCCTGTAAAAATCATCAGCCACATAAATTCCTAAAATAGCTTTCTCTTTCTGCTTTAGTTCCTTTTTGTTCCTTTACTGTATGTACATTTCTATTTTATTTTACTATTTTCGATTTGTCGGCAAATGAATCCTTGCTGTGGATTTCATGCAGAGTTGGTAGGTTCCGCTGTCAACAGCTTATCGAGTTTGAGAACCGAATAATCCAGTTGAGGCTCTAGACGAATGTTTTCTTAATAGCTTATTGGATTTGCGTACTAACTGTCGGAATACTTGTCAGTAGCTGTCAACAACTACTCGGAGCTCACTTCTCAAACCCCAATTTTTCCAACCCCGGCTTCATGCCTGTTGTGGGCGATGAAAATAGTTTTTCTTTTTCTCGTCTTTATCAATACAAAAAACAGGAATGCCACCTTTAAGGAATTATTTGGACATTGTTTTTACATCATCATCATTTGCATTCTTACGTCTTTGCTTTTTTCCATTTTTACGTGCTATTCGATTTGAAATATCGCCGTCACCATATTATTATTCTGAAATTTTTTTCGTTCTTTACTTCGACAATGCTGTGTTTATATAAGTATCTATATACAGTTTGGCATTACGTATTCTTCCTTTTCTCTTTGTCTCTTTCTCTCTCTCTCGCTCTCGCTCTTACTCACTTACTTTCTATTCTCGATTCAATGATGGCATGAAGGCATTCATGATATATCGTGATAGAGATTTTTTTTTCGCTATCTCACTTGTCATTAAAATGGATATACGTACATCTAACGCTATACTAACAACTACATATAACATGGTTAACTAAACTAAAATAAACGTCTATACACATGCATGTAGACACACTCATACCTTTCAGTCAGTCATTAATGTGGAAAATGGGTAAGGGTGTCGTGAATACGTCACACGTGGGAAAAAATTGAGGAAGAAGAGTAACAGAAAAAAATGATTTTTTTGACATCAAGATCGCCAAAAAAGGAAGGTAATTAAGTTCTTTTTTGAGGCATGACTAAAACGCAATTTATACGGTGACTAAAAAAGATTGGTTATTAATAAAATACTTTCAACGATGAGGGATGGAGCGTGTATTAATTAATGTTTTCTTGAACTTTGAAGAATCTTTTGAATTTTCGACGAAGTTTAGATGCTTTCAGCTGTATTAAAATTACTTATTAAGTCATGGTATTTTAAGAGTTGAAATTTAGCAATTGACATTTAAAATTTTAATTTTTATTTGAATAATTATTGTAATTGAAAAGCTTATAAAGTAAGGTTGATTTATGAGTAGAGTCATAAGGATGGTATAAGAGGGTCTGTACTCTCCCTCTCCAATAAGGAAGGTTAAAACTCCCGAAACCCTTCTCAAAACATTTTACGTTCAGTGCTCATTCCAATCAAGACAAACATGATTCAACAAACATCAAGAACATTATTGCTCTACACATAACCTTCAAGAAGCAGCATAAAAGAGACAGAACAAAGACCTTTTGCATCATCTTGAACTTCTAGAATTAGTTTGAATGTATTGACAACTTCATAATAGAAAATGGAACTAAAAGTTATTTTTGGGTTCCTAATAACACTGTCATATGATGACAAATGCTGACATTTTGCTCTCCGAAAAAAAAGTCATGAAATGGGTTCTTATCAGTTTTAATACAGAATCTGTTTTATTCTCGGAAATGAGAAGCAGCTTGGACATGATGGAGATTATGTCTACAGTTATCACGTGAAAAAATCGGTTATGGATGTGAACAAGATTGGATCTGCAAAAATTTACTGAATTTTAAGACTCAACTTGAACCTAATCTTCACGTTTTAAAAGCAATTCCACTTATAATGCCTTTACAAATTAACTTCCTTTTAAAGTTTTCCTTCAACAAAAAATAAAATCTGAATGAAGTTAGTCTCAATAAGAATTGGGCACGACGAAAATTTTCCGCATTTATTCTATTGAAAATTTGTTCTTCCTCTTTCCCCACAAAATAGGAAAATCTTTTAGACTTAATGTAACAAAAGCAAAAGCAGTAACATCGGTGGCGCAAAAAAAAAACAAGCAAAGACGGCAGAAGGAGATAGAAAATGTTTAACCTAGTTTCATTTATCATATTCCAAAAATTGTCATTTTCTGTGACATCGATGGTTATGATACGGTCAGGAAAAAAAGGCAGAGAGAATTTTTTTTTATTTCTTTTATCGTTGGCTTACGTCCTACGGTTGTCTTTCTCCATTTCGTGTACTTTGCATAAATTTCATGTCATTCAAGAGTCACAGAGAGACCCGTGGACATTAAAAACTAAACGATTAAAATCAATTTTTTTTTTGTTCTACTGTTTGGGAAGGAAAACATTTTGTTGGCACCGAACATGGAGCAGTGTTTTCTCATATTTATATTATAGATAGGTATCCCGAGCGACAATTTGTGGCGATGGCAGTTGTGTGATTGCCTCCAAACTGCCTTGCCTTGAACAAGTCGATTTCAAGGCACTGCTTCATACTGCATTGCCTTGTGGCTACCATACGACTGCCACAAAAACAAATTTTTTTCTTCTAAAATTTCTGCCTTGCTAAGGCAGTTACAAGGCTGTCATATGACTGCCACCGATTTCAGCATTGTCGCAACATACTTCACAAGTACAATCAGAAATGACTAATATAAGTCGAGGAAATGTTTCCATACTTTTCCTAAGATATTTTAAATAGTATCTTTTGTGGC